AGCTTGTCGCAAAGCATTTCATGCCGCAAATCTGCCATTATTACTATAATAATGGCAGAATGTGGTTGCATTATATTACTATTAAGCGGTATCTATTCTTTGTAATCGCCAGCGATATATATATCAGGATTTAATGGAATATATCTGACTATATATATATCTGCTTTTCTTCAAACTCTTCAAAATCACTTCCACTCAATCGTATGTCTTCATCGGAATCTAAAGTAGAGCCAATTAATTCTCAGAAATCTCTCACAAATTAGAAATTTCATTGAAGCTTTCTCCGAACCATCGTTTAAGGGTATTTTATGCACACAAGGTTCAAAAATTGAATTTTTTTTCAGCATATTACCAAATGGGATGTAAAGAAACACTTAAACACAACAACTTTAGAAAAATAATATTCGTTTACACTGTTAACTCAATAACACCGCATTAAAGGTCAAATAAATCTGTGATAGTACTTTTGAATGTTTGTTTTACTATATATATATATATAACAGTAAACATGAACGAGTCGCCCAACTGGTATAGTGGTTAGCGACGCTCACTGCGGTACCGTACGGACTGGGTTCGAATTCCGGTGAAGGCATGGATGTTTGTAAATATATAGTCCCTTTGTGTGGCATGAGAATACTCTAAATAGCCTTCGAGCCACAAGTCATTTCGTGTGGTTGGTGGAAGGGGAAGAAATGTGGGAGGCCCTTGGCCCCCCAGGGATTTCTCCTTCTAAATCGGGGTGGAACCGAACAAAACCATGCTGTCCCCTGCATGGTGCTCAAAGCTAAGGCTAACGACAGGCATAAAAATTCTAGCCCTTATCCGCGATGAATTTCACAGGCCTCGATCTGACTTCGTCAGGCAGGAGGTATTAGTCACAACAACAACAAAGATGGACGGCAGATGTTTATGATGATAAATTGCCTTGGTGTTGAAATGACACGAGCGGACGTTCTAAGTATAATTTAAATTGTAAAATTTATCCTAATAAACCTAGAACCCCCAATCATTTACTGTGTAGTTACCATAAAAAATGGTTGAAGATCACGAAAAAGTTTCAAATTCCTTTCAAAAATGCGGAAAGGAGAACAAACTGAACAAGCTCCAGTGTCACATTGGTACCGATGGACGTTGTAGTGTTAAAATGTCCAGGTGCTTCACCGGTAGTTTTCATGCAGCTGCAAAATTCAATTTTAATAAACGGCTATTGAGATTTGTCAACATATTTCACAGAGCCATCCTTACCATACGAAATAAATTTTATTTTCCCGAAAGCGAGACAATAGATAAAACAGGAAACATGATTCCATCTTTAAAATTTTGTCAAGATACAAAGCCATTTAATCTTTAGCTTTTCTTTCTACAGATAACGGCTTTCGTAAATCAGTCCACTTTATCAATAAAATGCAAATATTTTGTTCACAGTATTGTAGGTGCTCGATTAGTGCTCAAGGGGCCGTTTCCTTTCCGAGGTGATTCCATCTCGTGCGTAACATTGGAAAAGCAATAGCCATTTATTAAGAAGATTACTAATCAGCATAAGTTCGAGAAACAAAATTATGTACTTCAAGAATATCGTTCCAGAACGAGAGAAGATTACGTACTTCTAGAATATCGTTCTAGAAAATCATAATGCAATGGGCTACGTTTACATGCATCCACAGAGAGAAATAAATATAATTGAGATCGTTTCTGTGCAGCTGCATTTCCATGATTACCTATGTGTGTTATTAAAAACATTTGCACATTTAAACACTAATGACATAAGGGTGAGGGGAACTACCCAGAACTAGTTGATCTTATTCTACCTAGAGCATTAAGTAGAGTGAATGGACCAAATGTATTAATTTTGTTGGAAACAACCTTTGTGTGGGAATGGTAAGCCGTTAAAAGGTTCTTAGGAAAATTATTTCATTTTAACCTCAGAATTGAAGATGAAAAGTGATTTATTTTAGAGTGGTTAGGCGTTACTTTTTAAAAAATGCTTTAGTCAGAATGTCGGTAACATTTCAAAGTTAATTATATGTTTATATGCTTTTACTTTAAAAGCAAATATTAGTAAAATAGGAATTAATAACACAACAAAGACTTTTAATTGACAAGTTTAGCCACATAATATGCTTTCTAAATTACTTTCCTCATATATGACCGTTCATTTCCAATGTATCGTTCGCTGTTTAATGAAAATTACATTTTTACGTCCTTATGTGAAATAAAACTAATGATAAAATAATGGAAACAATGAAAAGTTTGTAATTATGAGTCAGAATATTTTTTTAAAAAAATAAAATATGAAGAGAGAGAGAGTAACTGAATATATATAATGTTTTTTGCTTAATAAATATCTCTTTTTTTAATTTGACAACCGTTATTTATTTTACGCTCTAAATTTTACAACAATATTTATCTTAGAAATGTAAAAATCACTACGCAATTTTTCCCTTCTGGTGCTTTGCGGAAAATATTTCCCATGCACTTTACATCATTACTTTTAAAATGAAGGTCATTAATGTACTAAACTTGTATTACGTTAGAAAACAAACAAGGAAACAATTCCATTTTCTTCTAATTTTAGCTGAAATTTACTTTTTTACGTGCAAAAGTATGAAACAGTTTATCACACATTTATTTTATATTTTAATCGGTTTAAATTGCTATAATTTGCCGACTGTCGAATTATCATTTCTGTATGTAGGCAGTGACATAGTTAGTTCTGAGTGGGTCTTGTATCTCAATTTCTTGGGGACCCTTCTTAAAGTAATCTTAACATTTTACGATACATTTTTATTCGTTCTGGGCCTGTAAAGCTTGGGGGCCCGCATGGATGATATGGTGTAGGCGTGAATTCTTTAACACGTTTTAGTTCATTTTATTTAAATGATTTTTTTTATTTTCAGTAATATGTTATGTGTTGCACTAGAAAAATGTAAGAAAAATTCATATTAAATAAAATGTTGATTCTGGTAATAAAACAAGCATCATATTTTTCATCCTATTAAAATTAGATTTACCCCGATATTCCCTCCTCTTTCACAGAGAGAAAAATACATTTATTAATTTTGTCACTAAGAATTTTTTTTCTTTTAGAAATAAAGTTGTTCTGTATTAAATAAGTTGGAACAATAATATTATTAATTTTTTGTCAAGACATGTTTAATATTTTTTTTTGTTATTAAGTAGCATATATTCGTAAGTAAAAAGGAATAAGAAATTATTAACTCTAAATTAATACTTAACCTTGTTTGTATATTAAATACTATACAATATATTTCGAAGGTTGTAGAGCATAAAATAAAACAATATATATATATATTTATTTAAATTCTAAAAATACCTAATATATATATATATATATATATATATATATATATATATATATATATATATATATATTAGGTATTTTTAGAATTTAAATAAAATTACTTATTTCCTAGTTTTTTTTTTGTGGTATTAAATGTTATCTTGTCCTGTGGCACTTGTTTTTACACAGAAAACTGACACATGTTTTATTGGGTGTTTTCCTTTTTCCTGCAGAAGTGTTAATTTTAATTTTTATTATAAACCACCAAGGAAGACTATTCCAATTAAAAGGATCCATAAATTTCGCCGACAGCGGAAATTAAAACCCAGCATGTTTTTGATATTTAAACAATAAATCCAGTTTTCTCTCAAAGGAATACCTAGTTGTTTCCAAAAGATTTAATCCAATTTGAGTTATTACACTTTCCTTTTTCTTAAAAATCTTTTTTTTCATCAAAATGCGAAACATTCTAGTATTTTTCTTTGTTTATTAATTAAGGCCACTAGTCATGATATATAAATACATTTCTGTCTCTTTTATTTGCTACACCCAAACAAAAAGACGAAATTTATCCCCTAACTCTAACGGGAAATGTATTTTCCAGTAGAGAGTTGTACTCTAACAAAAATAAACACCATCCAAAAAAGGAGACTGAATGAAAATAAAAAAAAGTAAAAAGAATAATAAAAAAAGAAAAGCGGAACGACCAGAATTCTTCGTCTTCTAAAACAGCAGCTGTTCCCAGATGAGGCAGCCGCAACTTTGTGAGGCTGAAAAAAAAAATAGAATAAAAAAGGATAAAATTTCTTCCCCGTCGCTTATTGACTTTGTTTTGTACCCGATCCCAAAATTTTCTCTCTTGCTTTCCTCCTTATAAGAACGACACTTCGTAATTCCTTTTTTATTCTGTTACCTTTTCTTAACCTCCTGCTTGATATTTTACTTTTATTTACTTTTGTTTCTTTCTTACAGTGCGGACCGAGTGTTTCAGAGGCTCTAGTTTCTCAGTAGACGTCAAGGCGAAAAAAATTGGCTCTATTTTTCTTCCCATTGCGAAGCTGTTAAGCTAACTCAACCATCTGAACCAACTCAAGAATGAATTACTACACCTCTGTCGCGTTTTACTTTGTTGGAGTTTGCCTCGAGAGCTATTGCATTGCAAATGAAAAATCCTAAGATTTCCTTTTCGTTGCTTTCTTACAAAGTTTTTTTTTTTCTCATTGCAATGCTGTAGTTACTTTCGGCTTTATTCTTTGGCTTCTGAAAATGTATACAAATAATCAGCAAATATTATATACTAAACGGATTTATCTGTATCTAGAGAAAAAAGCTATTTAAGGACAAACGAGTTTCACTAAAGCAAATCAAAAGAAGTAATATATATATATATATATATATATATATATATATATATATATATATATATATAAGTCAATTCCTACTTAGGTCAACAAAGAAAATTTTTATTTTAGTTACTTTTATTAAATAGTTACAATTAATATAAATATGTATATACATATGACACAATCATACTCTTAAGTGACAAAACAGATAGAGATTTTCCTTGCAATTTTCCACTTTCATTTCTATATAGGGTGTTGGAATATTTTTTGTTTGTTCCTATTTATTCATTAATTAAATTTAATTATTCTCATAAAATAGTATAGTAAAAAAGAAATCTCATCCTCTCAGAAATTAGCCCATTCAGGTAGGATTCGAACCCACGAACTTTGGATTAGAAGTCCAACGAGCTGTCTAATACGCTGAACGTACGCAACGAACGACTTTCCATTCTGTATATGCTGTTGGAGTGCTATTTTTTGTTTGCTAAGATCTATTCAGTTTTTAATTAATAAATAAGTATTTGAAAAAACTGTATTAACTTCAAGTGTCATCCACTACAAATCTCAAAAATGTATTTGAACTTGAATGTATGAATAGAAAGTATATTATTAATAATTGAAAATTTGAACAAGATATAAAAAATAAATATATAAATATAGGGAGATAGTGAACTAATAAAGTAATTGGAAAAAAAATTACTGTTTTGTTTTATTTTGATTAGTGTTGGGTTCTCTTGCATTATGTTATGGTTTCGTTTTGCTTAAATATCTTACATTTTGGAGAATTGTCAAATTTATACCATATGTACTTTGCTTTTCATTTATTTTGTATTGAACGATTTAAATATGTAATATACAGTAATAAATTTTTAATTTTTCTTGGTGTCTTGATTCAAACTTGAAATTCTTGAAGTCTTCGCACCATTGAAATGTTTGACTACGAGTAAAAGAATATAAATTTGCAGATCTATTTATAAGTGTATGTATACATTGATTTAAAATAGACACAAATAAAATCAATGCAATATATATCTCTTGTGTATTTGCATAATTTAAAATTCACAAAATACAAAGAAGAAACTCTAGTTATGGGAGCCTAAAAGATCATTATAATTCGGTTTTAGAAATTCAGATCAAGAGGTTAAGGCTATTTAGATTAATTTTCTATACAACCGCACGCTTAATGTGTTAGGACTTCGATATCAATAATTCATAATAGGTATATAATCACAGCATTATCCCAGCATAAATACAGCATTATAAATTACCTAGTGAAATGAGCGGGTAACAGCTATTTCGCTGATACTTTTAAAATGCTGAAGGCATTTACATAAGATTTTTTTTCTTTCTATTAATAAGAAACCTTCTTTGATTAATGCACTAAAAACTAAACTGCTGAGCTTAATGAAAGAAGAACATTATTTAAAGTGAATGTTTAGTTTAAATGTAGCATTCAAAAATGTATACATTAATATGTTCATGTAAGTTATTTAAAACATCTTGATTTCTAAATGCACATAAATATAAGTTTTGATGATGTAATTAGAATTACGTAAAGTTTACATAATGTTTTTTTAATGTAAGATATCGATTAATGCATCCAATTAGTAAATTATTTTTACTCAAATTTTAACTTGAACTTATTATAGAACAATGAAGTAACGTCAAATAATGATAGCAAATTAAAAATAAGAACATAGTTTAAAAATACATTTTATCACTCTCCCTAAGCAGCAACACAATTATTTTAAATACAACTGTTATTTAAAGAATAAGGTAAAGCATTTTTACTAAAGAATCCAGTGCTCAATTTTAAATTTTTCCGCCGCTTGTACCGCACATTACTTCCAGTGATTAGATTTTGTTTTAAAAAAATAAACTTAAAAACACAATTTTCTTCGTAAATGATCCGAAATTAATAATTCGGAAGAAAAGCTGTAACCTATCTCTCTCTCTCTCTCTGTATTATTTCTCTTAAAATTCTTCTCAGCGAATACTTAAAAAAAAATAAGACAAATGAATTTTAGAAACAATCATTATTTGAAGAAATATATTTTCGCATATTTACTTTAGAAAAGTGTCATCCGATTTCGCTTTTCCCGCCGTTTGAACAACGTATTATTTCTTAACGAGAATTCTTTTTTATCGTTTGCTATTACATTTCCGCAATCGAAATGAATTCATTTTTTTCTTCTCTGTTCGTCAGATATTTTTTTCGTCTGATCAACTCCTTAATGGAATGTGTGTCTTCCCAATTAACTGTTAGAGGGTGCAGCTTAGAGCAGGGTCTTATCAGTAACCAACAGAACGCAGTCACAAAAAACGCTCATAATGTTAGATCCTTAGGTGGTGCGGGCCAAACTTCTCCAATCTTTTTTCCTTGGTATTTTTTCTCTCCTCTTCTTTTCTCTTCACAATTCTTGTGATAAATGTGCAAAGTTTTTGTTTTCTCTTATATATATATATATATATACCGAACTCGGAGCTGGGACGAGTAAATTCATTTATTTGAATTACAGTTTACTATCTGAAATTGTTTTCAGTAATTAATTTGCATCTTGACTTGGCGAAGAATTAACTTTTCCCCAAGTGGTATTTCAGTAATTTAGATAACCAAGAAAATGCGTTTCGAGAGATGAAAAATGTAATTGTGTTTTGTTGCTGTGAGTTTTCAGTTATTCCTTCAATTATACTCTCGCCCTGAAGTATCATTTATTAACTGTCAGAGATTCTGACATTCATAAATTGTTATTTTTCAAACAAGAAGTCGTCTTCGTCATAGGATTCTTCGGAACGTAATTAGCTCCATTCTGAGGAAGAAAAGCGGGATAATTATGAATTCTAATTTTGAAAACTCAAGTTCATTAAAAGAATTAATTTCAAGATGGATGTGCATGGAGGATTATAATAACATTTTACTGACCTTTTTTAGAGTACAAAAATTGGAAAAAAGTCACCAATAAGATTTCTTTAAAATTTAATTATGCGTGCAATTCAGATATTAAAAATATTAGTTTATAATTTAAAGGACAAAGCATGTTAGTATACGTTCACGGGTTTTTTTCACTTTTTAAGAATTTATCTACATTGTATGTTTATTAACATTTTCATTCTTTATATTCACACAAAGGGATTAACTCAAAAGATAAAAAATAATAGGACGTACTATAGATAATTATTAAAATTTTGAGTTAAATTAAACGTTTTAGTTCTAAGCGCTCCTCGGAAAAACTCTTTATGCTTTCATTATAATAAAAAAGAGCTTCTGCAGTTTGAAAATGAATAATTAGAACTTAAGCATAGGCAAATTTAATTTCAATTTGGGAGTTTCTTGTAATAATACCTAAAGCTCCAATAACGCAAAACTTTGATTGGGCATTAAAATTATTATATAGCTACAGATAGCCATTTGCGTTTATATATCTGAAATACAAAAGAAACAACATTTTATTGAAATGTTATAGTTTTAAACTATGATGAATAAAATATTGTAAAAAAAAACATATTTTTCTTTTGGGAGAATATAAGAGCACTTGTTATATTATTCGAACTGAAACAATTGCAAAATGTGTATTAAATGTTTTTAACTAATTTTGAGACTATTTTTTTTATTTGTATTCAATTTTCATTTACATTGTTATCGAAATAAATATCAAAACATCAAGCTTTAAATTTAAAATGGTTCGTAGAGCGTAAAAAAAGTAAAGAGTAACCAATCGAATGAAGAAAATTATTTTAAAAGTTAAGGAGTAAATTACAAAACTAATTTATATATATATAAATGCATCTTTTTTTTATCTAATTTAGCAATTTTTCTGACTAGCAATGCGTGGCAGCCTTGTGGTCAAGGTAATGGACTCGTGGGCTGAGTTAGAGCCTGGTAACCTTAAAGATCCGCCGTGTAGAGAGGCAATGGACGTTAAATCTGCCGAGCTCAAACTTCTCTCGTTGGTTTAGTGTGGAAGTTAGGAGAGGGGATCAACCATCATCGTATTACCATTCCCTGTCGACACATATCAATGCCATTATCATCCTTCCTCTAACATCCACACTACTCCAACGGGTTAACTGCGAGATTCGTTCAATGTAAAGTGCATCAGCCATTCTACACAGAATGTTTTCATTGGCACTAGGCTTGTAACCTGTGATTGGACAGCGTTCACCACAAGTTCATGGCAATGGTCACTCGTCTCGGATATTCCGCCTACTTAGATTTTCAAAACATGGCTATATAGTTATGAACATACCCCTTCAGGGTTATAACTTTTCATTAAAAAATTTTGTATTCAAGTAATTTTTAAATATATATGTGTGTGCGCGTATGTGTGAGTGTAGGGTTGGATATGTGCACTGTCACATCCCCTTCTCCTGTTACTTCGAGTGGAACAATCCACTCTGACGTCACACCCCGCTAATAGTGTCCGACAAAAGGAATACACGAGAAATGACTCAGAGATACGCTAAGCACTAGACGTAGGAGAAAGACGTCCTTTTTGCTGTTTAATACATTTTAGAAAATCATACTTCATTTTGTTTAATAAATCATTTTATCATACTAAGATTGTAATCATTTTCCCATGTAAATGAATATTTGATTATGCGTTTAACTCCTTACTTTTCGCTCCCGGGAAAACCTCGGGGTGAAATTTTTCCCCTCTATTTATCGTGCCCGCGATATTTCCGGGCTGCATTGTTCAAAAGTAACGTGCTAAAAAGTTTAAATTTATTTGTTTCTTATGTCCAGAATCATATTTATTTCTCACCAGATGGCAGTACTAGATTATAAGTAGCGTGTTTATAGATAGTTTTTTTTTTATATTTTAAACTAGATGTTAGCATGATCAAATGTATATATATTATATCAGCAATATGGTTTTGTAACCTTAGCTCAGTTACTTAGTTCCGTTCTTCCTGAATAGATGTGGGTTGCGTTATGTAATAAAATATATATTTTTTAAAATATTGTATACATTATGGAGTTAGTTTGGAAGTGAATCGGATTTTACTTTCAATATATTCTGAGTGCAATTCTGAAATAACCGATTGTTTTGAAAGTTCGGTTAGTAAACCTGAGAGCAGTTATGATTGATCTATACTGATACCTTTGGCATTCGCCTTTTTATCTCATATTTTGAAATGTGTCTCACAAGAAAAAAATTACTGATGTGTTTTTTTACATTCCGTAAGTCTAATAAAATGATCCTTTAATATTTAAAACATACGTCTTATTTTTTTCTCTTTGTTGGAAAACCAACATTCAGTTATAACAACCTTAAATGTTGACTTTTCTTAAAGATTAATATTTTGTATTTCAAACTAAAAATTTACTCAAAATTTCATAATAAATATTAATATTGAACATACACTTAATTTTATGTTATTTTCTTGAATAAAAAATAGACACTTTTATGGCCGTTTTCTTTAAAAT